TTTTTTGTATCCACTTTTGGTTTCATAACATTTTGTCCACATGAAACAGAGAATTGACTTATTCAAACGCGAGAAATGTAAAAACGCAAAAGACAAAATACGAGATATTTTCTATGCTACACGAGGCTAAACGCTGGCCAAGACATTTCAACAGAGTTCAACTTGTTTAATATGTCACATGTTAGACTTTGTTCTTCGCCAAACAAAAAATAAAACATTGCAACTTTGGAGTACGGTGCAAGTTTCGTGGGTCTGCACTTTTAACAATCTATGTCACATTTGCTTTTATGTTTGCTAAGTAAATTTCATTTCGTCTTGTTTCTCTCCTAACTTGATGTTGTTTCTTTATGTCTCATGGATGTGTATGATGTCATATGTCATTTTACTCTCTAATTACACAATAGCACGATATAGGCTCGTTTTTATATTTTTTCTTCCTTTTTGCGGGCTTCGTATGTAATTGAAAAACCAAATCAAAATATTTTAAAACAATATTCGATTAGTTATCGAAAATTTGCTAAGCAATGTAGAAGAACAGATCCTCTTAAACAAAATATAAAGCAAGCTACTTTATTCTTTCAAACGCTAATCTCCAAGAATGTAGTTTGGACAATATTCTGTCGTCTTCAGACAAACATGAGGTGACTGCACATATTTTTTTATCAAAGAGAAAATGGAAAAAACAGGGTGTGGGTCTGAATCTTCTACTCATCCACATCTACATCCTTTCTTCTTGCGAAAAGCTGATTTATTGGTAGAATGTATACTGGATTAGCGTTTGCCGTTGGCATAGAAAAAAGGAAATTAAAAAGACGCCGAACTGTGCATCTTGTTGTATATTCTTAGTGCATTTTCGTGGACTCTAAAAAAAGCACTCTGTTTCATCAATGAGTGCAAACAACAGAAGGTTTGACTAGTTCATATGCTCACGATTATTAGCATATGTAAGTGTTGTATTGCAACGAAGTCTATACGTTAGCTACAACTCCAGAAAAAAAGAGTGGATCGCTTTGCAACTGAAGTATTCGAATAAGTATTGTTGTTTAGAGCAGCATTGCTTGGACAAAAAACGATTAGTCGAAAACAAATATTCCGAATGTATAAATATCTTGCTTGATTGAGAGCTAATGTAAGATCTAAACTCCAATTGCTTTAGTTACTGTGTTGATATATGGTTTCGCATAGCACTGTTTGTGCATGAACAAGACTAGGTCAGCACTGAGCATATTGCTGATCACAGTCTCTATGGTTAGTATCAGTAATGAACCGATGAAAAAATTTCACTGGTTAGTAGTCTGATGCCGTATTTAGGATAGAGGCATATTTATAAGTTCAGGAGACTTGATTTCAAGCCACCATATTTTATAGAATCAATCCCGATTTAGCCGAATACTTTGGCTGCAAAATCGTTCTAACTCTTTCATTGGTGTGCAACTGTGTCAAGATCGTCGACCATAACACATCTTTAGTCAAATAGGTTGTTCTTGCTCGTCTGCTCTTATGTCATGTATTGCATTTTTCGGTCCTTTTTCTTTTACTTCTCTTTTCTTTCGATTCATCTCTGTCGAAGAAGAGACACTTCATCAGTATGTCACTATATGTGAAGAAAAAAAGATGTGTTTGAAGACATATTTAGTGTTTTTTTTCGATTTCAATTTGTTTGGAATAAAAAGACTGATATATTCATGCAAACAGTAATAAAAGAGGAACTCATAAGCTAACATATGATATTTGCTCAGTTTGCTTTATGAATATTTTTCTTTGCAAAGCAACATTTATGTAAATTGACAATATTGAATGTGTGGAGGTAGTCGAAGCATCCATTTTTCAAGTCAATAAAAAGGTAAAAGCATAACAGTATCACCACACACCTATCAAGGCTTAGCAGACAACGTCATACTCTAGTTTTCTAAGTAACTTGAGTTTTAAGTATAGTACAAAAATGATTTGAGGAAGGCAAGAAATTCAAGCAATTGGTACTATTGAGTTTCGTAGTCGATTTTGCCTTAAAAGAATGTGAGTGTGGGTGTGCATGAAGAGAAGATGCAACTATACCCACATCCTTCACGAATGGAAGATATATGCTGCCTCAGATTTCAGTGTTGTCTGTTTTCATTACTTCATTTTTCAGTTTCTTCTGCTCTTGGTTAGTATACTGCGATAATAGAATGAACTGTTGATGTGTCGATTTTCATTTATATTTATTTCTAACAGATGTGTGAAATTTTTCAATATGATTATAGTTTTTTCATTTAAGGACAAACTGTTTAGCATTCAATGGCTTCATTCTTCAGCAGAAAGTTGGCGATAATTAGTATATACATTTTCTTACTCGTCTACAGGTAATTGATTTATATATATATATTTGGCTTCAATTTATCTCATATATTTCACAAAATGTCATGTTCTTTTAGTTTTTCAGGTATGATTACCATTTGAAAAACTTGCTACATAGTTCAGCTTTTCTTTTGACAGAACCAATCAAGTCGCAAACATGTCATAATGTTCCTCAATATGGTGAATGTTCGACGAACAGTGCATGTGGTTGCTTTTACTTTGCGGCTGCTTACAATAGTGGCATTTGTGGTCTTCTTCACGTCACATGTTCACAGTTAACGCCATGTGCATTGCAGGGAAAAGTATGTAACGAGCCCGGTCATATTTGTGTTTATCATCCCCATTGTCGCAATCATTCGGTATGCTATCCATTTTCAATGTCTGCTCAAGAGATATGTCCACCGATAACAACAAAATCAAGTAATTATCATTATTATGAGACGAAAGTTACTACTACTGGATAATGAGTTGTGAGGGTTCCAATGGTCAGATTGATAGATATTGTCACCCTGATCATATCTTGTGGCATCCTTCTAACGCAATAGGACGCTTACTATCGCTTCGGATTCGTGCTCAACTAGTGTCCGCTATATAGGCTATTCTCGATGAGTGTGAGTTTGAATGTGAAATGAATGTCACATCACCTTTGTCCAGATGTTAAGGTATCTACGCGAAATAAGGATGTACAGTGAGAAAAGAAAAGTCCAATGAGAATTATTGTTTATATAATCTTCGCCAGGAGTTCTATCCGATTGTACAAGTTACGTAATAGTGTCTGCAGTTTTTATAGGTACTCATACTAGTAACCGATTGTGTACTGGTAGAACAACTTCATCTGAATGGATTCCTTACAACGAACCAGAATCTATCAGCGGGCTTCGTGTTCATGTAAACACATCATCTTGTGGTTTTCAGCAGACTCCATTGTATTTTACATCAATATCTGGCAGTGCTGCACACTGGCGTACCACTGGTGCTACATCAATCTATTCGCCAACGGCGACGGATTTTGTTGTCTATTTACTAACTTCTAATACTGGTATTCCAAATCATGGCATAACTTCGTTTGATTGGGCACAAAAAAATCGATGGGAATTGAATTGGGTGGGAATCGTTCAAGAGTGATTAAAACTGTTTTTTATCATCAAAGAAAGTAGAATAAATATCATTATACAGAAACCCATGCTCTGAATCTCAGAATGTGTCTTAACTCAAGAGAAAGTGAGAAAATAGTGTTTTAGAATTCATGCTTCTTAGTTATTTACTAGATGGGTTTCTTTTTACTTCTTCTCAAATAAACTCGTACTCAACTTCACAACACTCTTTCTTAACAATCATAGAACAACTCGTATTTAACAAGAAAGATTATGTTCATGTGAATAATGCTAATAATAGAATATGTCAATAGTTGATCGAATAATTTTATTTGTCAAATTAATTGTAGTATGTTGTTCTTTCAAATATTCTTCAATTGATTTTGATTTGAAGATCGATAACAGATGAAAATTGATTCATAGTAATAGATTGAAAGAAGAGCATATCATTTGAACGACTTGAAAATTTTTTACTAAAAACATAAACGAACCATTAAGATAAAGAATATTTGGTTTTAATGGAACAATTATTAGAGAAGAAAACGAAGACTCCTTTCATAAGATGGTCTTTTGTTGGTTATGATGAATATGAAATTTGTTTTGAAATTTATTGTATGCTAATATTTGATGTAAATAGAATAATTATATTGTTTAAAAACAACTATTTGATCTTATAAATAAAAACATGTTTAACAAAATAAAAAACAATATTCTCTGTCAACAAGAATATCTCTATGTAATATTTTCATGTGAAAACAAGTCTGGCATATGGTCAACATAAAATGTTCATGCTGTCATCTGCAATTTGATTCTTTGATTTTGATGCTTTTTTCGTCTTTGTTGATGACGAATATCATATCGAGCAGAATTTATTCCATTTTTTTTACGTCAAGATAGATTAGAAAATGTTTACTGCAAACATCATACTCAATTTTTCCTATTACCATCGAAAATAATTTATTTATTAGGGGAAAAAATCCTTTTTTAAAAGACTTACAATAGAAGATAATCTCAACAAATCATTGTATATTCAAAAATAGACATCTTAGTCTATCCGATTATGCATTAATCTTAAAATCGATTGATAGGAAAAAAAATTGCAATTTTTTTTGGCATGAGGAGGAAGTTCAAAAAGGCCAACGCTGCAAATATGAAGAATACGTCAAATGATAAGACAACATCTTTCTAAAATTTTCTTCGAATGTACTTAGATCTGCCAAATAGATAGAAAATCTATCTTATCTAAAGAAGTTTCTATGAAATGTCGCTTAAAAAAAAACGAATTTTTGACGAGTCTCTAAATAAATTCGAGATATAGAAAGAATTTAGTTTCTCACATTAAGTCATGACCATGAAAACAATAATGAAATATTACCTATCTTTCAGTTTTAGAAACACTCCTAGCTTCACTCTAGCATTGAGATATTCGAATTTTGGTTCATATTAACTTTTATGATCGATTCATTCAAAAACTCGCATAAAATTCTGATTATTTGAAATAAACAAGATTCAAAAAAAGATAAACGAGATGTCATCATCTCTAGAATATATCTGTTCTGTTATCTACATTTATTCTTCCTACGATATTTCATAAAGAAATCTCAAATATTATATTTTTTTGCTGCGTTTCTCAAAATTAATTAAACCAAATTAACATGATATTTTTTTTCCTTCCATAAATTTCCACTTACATTAACTATTGAGCCTCTTATAATGCTGTCATTATCTTCATACAAATTCACTATTCTTCCTTCTATCAACTTACTTTTCGAATCATAAAAAACATAAATCTAATGATAACTGCCAAAAGAAAAGTAATAAATTGAAAGTAATATATGCACAAAAAATATCGATTGAACACGAGTATTGAGCATACGAGATTAGTGTTACAGAAGATCGAACTAGTTTCAATGTTATTGGTCTTGTGTTTTTTAGTTTCTATTCTAATCACAGTCACTGATTCAACATTCCTACTTATCTTAATTCTATGACTCTGTTCATATTTTAAATAATCATAATAGGAGTTTGAGGTGGTGAGTGGGCCTCTCAATGATGTTTTATACACTTCTTTGCTTATTATTTAATATGGAAGTGTAATGAATGCCCTGTTCCTAAGAACGAAACGCAAAATTGATACTCGTAGATGTGCATGTGAGTTTCGAGTTTTTTCTTTTGCCATCGACAACAACATCTACAACTATATCTGAAATAATATATATTAGGCTGACTAAGAGGAATATGTGTAATTGATTAATTTATTGTACTCAATATATTAAGATTAAAAATATCATTAGCACTTTTATAGAACGAATATATATCTAGATTGATACTGGTTGATGACATCAGGTTTCCGATAACTGCTGATAATGTCGTGAATTGACTGATAGTCAAATGTGTTTGAAAATATCACGAGACTAGTATTACATAATTCAATTGATATTAAAGGTTTAGATTTGCTAAGTTGTATCGTAAATGCTCAAATAGGTAAGGGATGTAGTTAAACTTTCGATATTAACTGGAAATAGATGTAGGAAATTTTCAATAAGTTCAAACTTTTTACATAAAAATATTACAAAAACCGCAAACAAAAGATGATAAATGAAGCAAAAGTCTCTTTGAAAATATTGATTTTGTAAATAATTTGATTGCCATATGTGAGAGCAAATGCTTTTTTAAAACCGAGAAAAATGGAAAGGAAATGAGAACTTCAGAATCATTGACATATTGAGAATAATTCAATGATGACTCTGTTAGTGAGACAACTTGGATATCTATATATAATATGAAATGATTTCGAAATTTATTGTCGGATGAGATAATTACGTCAACTTGATACAGTTGATTTTTCAACGTAAATTTCAACAAAATATATGTTAGCGTCCAATTTTGGTTTGGACTAGTCTAATGTTGAATCGGTGCAATTCTTTTTTGGACTTATGTTAAGACAATGCCTTTTTAAATTATTACAATCATCTTTGAAGAAGCTAAGTTCGGACTCAAAAACTTAAAGACAATTTCTCATAAAAGCGCTTTTGTTCTGTAAAAATATTATTCATAACTTCACAAATTCTACTTTAATTTCTCCAACGACAATTTTATTACCTGAAATGACATTGTCTCATTGCAATTCTTAAAAAAGAATTCGAATCTAACGTCTACTGAAAGATTAATTGATGTTTTAAGGGAGCTCCTCTCACAAACAAACTTTTTCATTTTTCCATGGAATTTAACCAAAATTTCAAAGAATGTTAGTCTTGGCCCGACTAGATAATGGTTAAAATATCTCCTCAAATCTACAAGACATATATTTACGAGTTACAGTCACTTTATAGGTCAAAAGTACCCTGTACGCGGGTAAGATTTTCACAGTCAGGATACTAGCTAACGTATTATCTTGGTTCTATATAGTCTAATAGATTTCATTTAGAAAAATATCATTCCTACAAATGTTGTTAATATTTTCGATAAAAAACAAATCTCGAAGAGTTTACTACTTTCAATAATGACTTAGACCAAACAATGACACAAGAATCTTAGTGCTAATATATTTACTCATATAAAAAAAGATCCTAAATTAGTTCCAACGACTAATCTATACAAAATACAAATAAAAATCTTACAAGATCTTATTTCAGAAAGAGTCACATCATTAACATTGAATAACTTATTCAATTAATGTGAAAAATACTTGCAACAAGTCGGCGATATGCTCAATATTAGAAATTAATTATCATACTTACTATTCAGCATAAGTAATCTTGACCTTTATTTTTATGATTTTTTTTTCGAATTACTAAATACGTTACATGCATCTATTATTGTGTTGAATGAATCAAGACATGAAATGATTTATTCCAGTGTCTGTGAAAGTATTTAACAAGCTTTCGCCTTTTTCACTAGAAAAGCAAAAATGCTTTCGAAAGTGTGTCAGTAGCTACACACCACTCTATTCTAGTGCAATAAGTACTCAACTTTCAAAATGATGGTAATGTAATTGTGCTTAATATAGGAAACTCTTGAGAGTGTTGGTGTGGATGTAAAAGTTTTATTCACCTATATTCACATCCATACTTTTGGTCATTACTATAGATATAAGGATGTCTTTGATTTTCTCCTATGTCTTACTTCACTAATATTCTTGGGAAACTTGCAAAACTGTTGATATAAAAAAGAACATATATATTGATAGATTCTTTTAATAAGCTTCTTGTATAAAATATAGAAATTATGAATGATTTGGTAATTAACTTATGTCAGGAAATTCAGTGGTCAGAGATTTCTTCCCGATATTTCCAAATGAGTTTTAATAACGCGAAAAGTCCTCCTTCTGTTGGAACATTTTCAAGGTAGATTTTGTATTGGCCATTCGTTTTGTCAATGTCAATGCTGGTAATATGGAATGATGTCATTGGTAAAATGAGTACCTCACGTTCGTCGTCAAAGTCGGATATGGAAGGTACAGTGTCAGATAGACGAAAGAGTTGAATAGCTGTATCACATTTTGCTGGAAAAGTGAACACTATCAACACAGGAACCGTGTCAGGAGAGGCAGTATCAATAAAGCTAAGAGCCACGTTCTTGTCGATAGATGTCGAGCAGAAATTCTTTGTCATCAAAATACTACTTTTGTGTTTTAGAGCCCATTGATGTGCTTGTAGATCTTCTTGAGTCATGGTTACACCATGAAATGAGCGACCTTGATACGCTCGTTTATACAAACTCTCTAGTTTAGAAAAAACTAGAAGTCTGAAGCAATCATCATCTGTACCTTTACCAAGAACCTTGTAAAAGGGTGTTTCAAGCGAATGGAGACGTACGAGATGTTCAACATCCTTCGTTGTTACATATTTAGAGACAAGAACGCATGCCTTCCGATACTCAGTATGTGATGGAGTAATGTATTCATCAATAAGATGTTGTAAATCTGTTGCAGCCTTACTTTCGGCGCATACAAGATCGGGTTGATCTTTGTAATGAATTATAAGTGGAATTAATGATCGTACAACCGATGATGTAGTAATCGTTTTTCCAATATGTGCGGCCAACTGACTATATTGACTCATGTCGTTATTTACTTCTTGACGCCAGACTTGGGGCATCTCATCGTTGTATTCTATTTTTTCATCACCAATCCAAGTAAACAGATGTTTAGCATCAACAACGATGTCACTACAGAATCGTTGTGAGCCCGATGAACGATGAAAGAGTGCATGAATCTCGTCAGTATCTGCCTCCTCATATGCAGTGAAACCGTGCAGATTTCGTCGATGACGCATAACGCCGCATTGATGAAGAAGAAGTCGAACAATGTCAGCATGACCGAAGAAAGAGGCTGCATGTAGAGCTGTGCTCCCGTTCGGTTCGAGACGATTGATATCAACGTACGGAGTAGATGCAATAAGTTTTTGAACGGTGTCGAAATTACCCGCTCGACAAGCCCAATAGAGAGCACTGGCTTCACCCTGTTCAGGATGACGAAGAATTGATGCTTCATTCTTCTCTTTGATGCTCTTGCCCGCTCCCATTCGTTGTGTGTTTCACTAAAACTACAAAATAAAGTGATTTAGGTGTGGATGTGGACGTTTTCATCACTCATCCACATGAACACTATTCACACTCACATTCCACACCTATACCCTATTATACTTGTTATTGCTACTTGGTTCGTATTTTTAAGTGATTCGGATAAAAAATCGAAATACGATTTATAATATTCTATTGTTACATGATAGGAAATGCTCTTAAACATAACTATTTGATTGTTAATTGCGCAATTGAAACAATGAAGATTTTATTTATACAAAGCAGATAACGCCGCTACATCGGAGTATTCTAGAAGTTTATTTTTCTTACGATTTCTTACATATGTATACCGCTAATTAAACATTTGTTGTTTTAGCCATTCATGAATATTGTCAATAAAGCAAAACACTAATAGTCGTACAGAATCTTATGATGAAAAATTGATAGTGAAGGTTTCATGTGTTCTAATCCTTTGAAAAGGTCTGAAGCTGATTTATATCACACAGAAAAAAATTGTCCTCATTTCACACACGTATTATCACAAAACTGATATTTTTCTATTATCTTAATAAGATATAAATCAAGGTCTTAAAACAAAAGGTGATCCAGAATAAATGGTCGCATTTTACGTTTCATTTTTTTTATCTCTAAGCCCGTTGTATTAACAAAATAAAACATACTACAGGATGCCGCATGAAAAACTCTACAATTCGCACAAGATTGCTTATTTTAAAGTTGCAGTTTTTGTTTTCAAAATTTTGCTTTTTTTGAAAACAATTACGATAAGCTTTAGTATGTAAATTGTAGAGTTTTTCACCCTGCACCTTATGGTATGTTTTGTTTTTTCAATCCAACGTGTTTAGAGATAAAAAAATAAAACGCAAAGTGCGGTCATTTAATTCTAGACCATCCGTTTTATTCTTGCCGAAGTTTAGTATGATGACTAGTAGGATAAAAGATAATAGATATAAACAACTTTCTTATTCATGTATCCAACGAAATATTATATTGAAATTAACGACGTCATTAAATTCGTACAGAAGAAAATATCTTAGCAATAGCACTATGATAAACTAAAACCACATTATCTGGATAATGTGACATTAATATTAACGTTTCTTGCAATAGAAATAGTGTATGCATAATTGATTGTAAATCATTGTATTGATTTCTATGCTATTCTTATTAATATATAAATCATAGGGCATACGTTTAATCTTACGATGAAGAAGATACCGGATAATTTGAATGATAAACAATCTGAAAGCATTAATTTCAATTTTTTTTTTCTTTGAAATATCGGAATTTCAAACGTAAAGTTTCCAAAATCAATTCACTATTATTTATGATCGCATATCATTACTAAAAATACACTGATTCGATATATTTTCATTCCAGTTGTGAATGCAGGTGTAAGAAATTCATGTTAGTGAGTGAAGTCAAGATTCATACTCACATCTATACTTGCTTTTTATCAGAAACGTTATGCTAAGCTAAGGATGCGGTCGCTGACTCTATTTTTCAAATCTGTTGATAGTAGTCTTCAAGAACGTAGATAAAAACATTTCTTTTATTGAATAGAAGGTTAGTATAAGTTTTTGACTTAGGAATACAATAGTAAGTGTAGTTTTTTTCATGATATCGTTTGCACGCTAGTCAAATTGACACTCCACATAACGTGAATACCTATGTTGAAACATAAAAGTAGTATCATGTTCTCTTTCCATATTGATTCACATGATCTATCACTTTTTATACTAGGGACGGCGACTAGATATAACTAATTTGTGAATTATTGGTGGCATAGTTCATTCTACGCTTCAGTGTTCATAATAAGCTCTTAAAAAGACTAAGATAGAAACATTTTTCTCTAATGTTCAAAGGCAAAGGAGTCTCTGTTTCTAATTTAGATGACATACCGTGACAATAGATGCTTGAAAATTACTTTTTATGTTTGCCCAAGGTTTTTTTTCGACTGATTTAGATATTTCAATCAATAGGTGAAAGTAAGGGCATACTTTTAATTGCATAAACAAGATAATATCAGTTTCTTTTATCAGCTAACGTGCTGTGATGATTGCCATTTGCAAATTACTTTTCATAATTGCCGAACATTTTTTTTTCGACTCACTTTACTACACATGTTAAACGATGAAAGTGAAAATATTACTTTTTTTCTTGCATCGTAGAGAAAACAAGGGAGAACGAGTATTTTTTCATGTATTTACGTATTTCACAATTATTTAGAGATACTTTGAAATGCTTGGAAGCGCCTAGAGAGACGTAGAAACGGAAAAGTCTTAGTATGACTTCGTTGTGTCAAATTGTAAGATTTTTCCTATAATATATGACTTTTTTTCGATTCATTAGTGCAGAAAAAAATGGCTACTAACCCAATGCGATTGCGAGAAAAATACGTTAATACAACAAATCTATTTGTAACATAACAAGAGAAAAAAGCAGTATAATAATATGTTCTTGGTATTGTTGCCATGGCCTGTCTATTTTCGTCATTTTTCAAAATAATCAACTGATAAATGATTGTTTTTCTGAGTCGCCGACCAACATGCCAGTGGTTTGTGCATATATTTGAGATCATTGTTCACATCAACTTTGAAATAAGAACTTTTTACATCTATACGGGTTACTTCAATCAAATTCAGACTGAAAAATTTTGTTTTTATGATGAATAATTCATTTTCATCGTTATTGTCATCTTCAGCAATTATAATCATAACAACATCAACTGTAACTATGAGATAGTCAGTTATGATGTCAAGGATTGAACATAAAAAGTACTTTGTAGAGAAACTTCACTGAATGAGATGATTATAAAAAGAATTTATTATTAAAGAAAATGAACATTTTACATCGAAAATTATACAATGTAATACGAGCTTACAATAATGAATAAGATATAAATTTGATGTTCAGACAATATCATCAACAAACGATAGATATTCACCTACAATTAAATGTGTAATGATGAAAAGTTATCAAAGAAAAAGATGAACTAAAGATATGATAATGGTGACCAACCAACAGTAACTTCGACAACATCATCAATGACACCTTTCACAAATATTAATACAACTGCCAAAACAACACCAACAATGGTGTCCACAATAATGAAAACAAAAAAAATATAATTCTTTCAAGTTGATTAAAATAGCAAAAAAATAAACTTTTTTTTCTCAGTAATTACATGTTTGAGACGCCCCATCTATTTTAAATTACTTTTCAATCTTAAGTAATTTTCATAGAACTTTTGTATACTGGATCAGATTATTTTTGTCTATGTCGTAGCTTTTGATTTGAACTGTAAATTTGTTCTTTAACTTGGCTATCACACACGAATGAAAAAGTTGTATAAGTTTTTCATTTGTAATCTATAACTTTGTTCGGGAACAAAATGAAGAAAATAAATTGAAAAAAAGTTTATAGCTCAAATCGAAAGCTACAACATAGAAAAAAAGACAATTCAATCAAATTAAACATACTATCATTATGATTCATAAACAATTGTTAGGATATTGGAAGAGTTGGAAGGAATAACGAAGCATTTTCCGATAACAATAACATACAATTTGATCATCTGTTTGAATCAGACATTTCAACCGCTAGATACTATAGAACACTTCAAGAAAGATCTAGTGAAGAAAAACCATGAATGATATCCTTGATAGTTCATCCATACATTCTTACTCTATCAGATTTATTCCGAAAATTCAGATGATATGAGAAAATTTTCTTGATTATTGATAAACAAGAACATTTAAGCAAACTTTGTTTTCGATCTAGAAATGAATTTGATAAGATCTACATGTGTTTTTTTTCTATAAAGAATATCTATATTTTATTCTATTATCGGCTTTCTCATTCATAAAAAAAAAGACTAGAAATTGAAAAACAGTATCTTTTTCTTTTACTCATTTTGTTTTTTTCTGAAATAATCTTTAGAAAGTTTTTTATACCAGTTGTATCAAGACATTTTAAAGAATTTAAGATATCAAAACAAGTTTTTCATAGAAATCGTTAAACAAATGAAAATCTTCCCAAGAAATGTTGTTATCGAAAAAGGTTTAAAATTAACTGAATTAATTAATTAATTGACATTCATGATGTTTTTTTACAACATTCACTATCGAATCGATCATTGAGTCTGTTACAAATCGTCGTTTAGATTTAATCGAAGCAGTTAAAATATGTTGATTAAATTCAAGTATAACAATCTTTTATTATCAAGCAACAAAAAAACTAATGAATATAATGGAAATAAATGAAGAAGAATTATGACTTGGTCAAGTTCATAATCAACATTCATTAGCATTTCATCATGATTAACGTCAACAAGTTTTTATTTTTAATAACAGATGTTATTAATTTCAACTAATCACCGCGAGAAGCTGTCTTTTTAAAGAGTTTTCTAGCGTATGGTAGACGTAGTATTAGAACTGTATCTCGTTGCACTGATGGTTGATGAATGAAAATCTTCTATGTATTCTCATCCACGATAAAATACAGTTACAATAATGCGCTTGTCAAATGCCAATATACAGATATTTCAGACTACCACCCGTATAGAACAACAGTATACGTGATCGTTTTTGGCCGTCTAATCAGTTGTAGTCATCGTTCAGAAATTGATTGTTTCATCTATGAACTTATATAGAGGTAAAAGCATTTTTGTAAAACGCTTTTTGATGAATCTCTCCTGGTTTTCGTTAAAAAAATTCTTATGCATAACTGCAACTGAATCAACGCAAAAGAAAATAAAATGTCGCTTTTGTCTTGTGCTCTATTTCCAACATGTCAACTTAGATACATAATGCCGTCGCGGTTCAAAACAAAAAATAGATGGTCGTCGTTGCTTGAATTGGAACCTCAAAGAAAGCCTTGGACCTACGTGCTTTGGTTCTTCAAGTGTCTTATTGACGAGATATTGTATACAAATGATTCTCAAACTTTCTTGTCTGTTTTAGTAAAACCTTGTTTCTACTAT